AAAACCTCCGTGGTGCAGTTCAATAAAGGGCTTCTTCTACCAGCAGCTTGAGAGGTGTATGCTTGTTCAATCCTGACATCCTTTGCTCGGTTTTTGTTCCAGGCCGTGCAGGTGTGCCACTGTCTGTCTGTCTGTCTATCATCTACATCTCTATCTATCATGTCTGTCTATCTAATCTATCTATCTGATCTATTTATTTATATTCTGGCATAGTTTCCCTTCCCTTCTCCAGTCCCTCTTCCATATAGCCCCTCTGTCCCCACCCCGCATACACTCCCACACTTCTGTATAGAAAAGGGGGGTCTACCATAAGTATCATCAACAAAACATGATGTACCATGCTGGAGAAAGACTAAGTACCTCTGGTACTCATGCTTGCAGGACAAGTGATTTATTTACTAAGCTATCTTCTCAGCCCCATTACAGAATTTTGTAAGTGAAATAAACTTGCATTTATTTATCCTCTGTTCTATGACAGGGAACTTGAATCTGGGTAATTTACTGTAAAAAGAGATTATGTGGAACTGGCACTTTCTCAGAAGAAAGGGTATTATTGTACTTGTGGAAGGAGCTAGGAGAGAGAGAATAAGAAAGGTACCTAGACTGCTTGCTCTCTAATGGCCTTGTCTTTGATTACTAATCCCCTACTGCAAGGTATAATTTTGTGACCCCTAATCCTAGTCAAGAAAACACATACTTATTTTCAAGAAAGATATTAATCTGTTTATAAAAGTGCTAACTCAGAACCTAACAATTTCTCAACTCACATCTCTTAAGTATCCCCTATAAGGTCATTTTCTCTTTCAATGCTATGCCATTGTGAAGGTAATTAATGAATAGCAAAACCAGAACTGCGTTTCTGTTTATAGTTTAACAATCAGAGATAACAAAATGTTCTCATTAGAGTATCTAACATGACAAATATAATATGTATAGGAGCAGACAAAACAGTACTTGAGAGTATACAGGGATAAAATTGAGACTGTCTGAAATGTATTAGTTTTCTAACTCCTCTGCAAGAAATTGTTATCAAAATATTATTTGAAATACATCTAGAAGATCTATTTAGTGTTAAGTGAGTACTGCTGTTGTTAATAGTGTGTTTTTCACTGATTTTCTACATGAACACACACACTCACTAGCTGGTTAAAGCTTTACCAACATGAACTGGAAAATAAAAAGAGAATGGTGCATTTTGTCATTTAAACTTTTTAAGTGTTTATTCCATTGCAAGCTTCCAAGTTTAGTTTTCCAAAAGTCTTCCATAAAATGATTACATCTTAAAAGTATCCTAGTTTTGATTTCATGCTGAATTTGTGTATGGTAAGCATCACATTGTCTTCATACAGACCTCTTCAAATGAGATTCCAAGATCCTGCAGGTGTTATTGTCCCCTCGCCAGTATTTGTCGCATATAAAGAATGAACAGAAAAGGTATAGTGTTAGTTTCCAAGTTAGCTAACTGCTTTATCTGACTCCATTTTCTCTAGTCCTAATCCATTAAACATCCTTTTTGTCAGTACATTCACTTATAAATCGATTTTCCCAGCATGAAAGCTCCCTTCTTAAGTACATTAAGGACATGACATTATGTCTGTTCTTTCCTTTCTTTTTCTTTTTTGATTTTCTGGGTGCATTGGAGAGGTAGTCTGTGGCATTACATAGTCCTCATGAATATTAAAAAGATACAGTCAGCTATCTACATCTGTGGCTTCTGTGTCCACGAATGTAGCTGAGTATGGAAAGAAAATAGTTGGTATGAAGAAAAAAATATACCTGTATTGAACATGTCTAAACATTTTTCCTTAATAAAATGGAACAATTATTTATGTAGTATGTATGTTTTCTTAGCCATTGTAAGTCATTGAGAATAGATGTAAGGTAGAAACAAAGTGACTAGATTTCATGCAAGTTCTATAGTGTTTTGTACAAGGGCAAAAAGCAACAAGGGATTTGGTGTGGTAAATCCCCACATCCAATACCTCATGGATTATGATGGATAATATTTTCCCTTATTCCTAAAGAATTTTTCAAATGAGAATTTAGATAGATTCATTTACCCTATTAAGGTATGAGACCTTTTAAACTATAATACCACATAATATTAAAATAAATCCACACCAAATATGAACTATCACAAGCATTCTTCTTTCTAAATGGTGCCCAGTTATCAGGTACTATTTCCAGAAATAGTTATTAGAATTGTTCTGCTCACTTAGATAGCTAACGGTACTGGACACACACACACACACACACACACACACACACATTTGTCAATGCAGAAGCCACAGATGTGGATAACCATAATCATTACGGGTGTAAAGGTAAACATTTGAAGGTAGTTTGATACTCTGTCCACTTAATAATATAATAGTAATAGTTTATCCTCTCAGAGCTATGACCTCCTCAGTCACAGGTCCGTGGCCAATTTTTCAGTACCTGATATGAATTCTGTCCTGTGGAGCAGGAACTAAATAGAAGCAAAGAGCAATTGTTCACACTGTAACATTCATGTTAGTAGTATAGTTTCTCTTTAAGATTTCAGTGACTGAAAAAGGAAAGAGATGCCTTGCTCAATCATCATCAGGGACTTCCTCTTGCAGTAGATGGGAATTAACATGGAGACCTGCAGTTAAAACACATACAGGCACTCAGTGACTTTGTAACTCTCAGTCCTAAACTGGATGTTTTTATCCAACTCACTCCCTTCAGGGTTAAGGGAGCTATATGAAAGATGAAGCAGGCAGATTTTAAAATCCAGCAGGGATGGATGACTCCAAGGAAACAGTGTCTTCAGACACAACAGGAGTGATACACATATGAACAGTGACTTTGGCAGCAGACACAGGGCCCGCACAGGTTCAACCACATACATTCCCATTCAAACAATATTCCACAAACTGTCGAAAGTGGAAATATAAACTACTCTTTGAGTGTTCATTTTCTTTAGTTATTTATAAAAAAATAATAGAATCAGAACCAGATTTTTCCCTTTATAAGCTTAGCATGTCACCTACTCTGGAAAGGTAGGATCCACCTGGGAATAGACCTACATTCTAGGCTAAATGCTAAAGGATTTAAAAGTGAATAGGCATGCTCAACAAAGATGAGGAAATACACACTAACACTCAGATATTTAAGATTGCATATTATCCAAACAAAGACTGTACATGTGTAAGTCCATAATGTCTGACCTGCTTTAAGAAATTATCTAAGAAACATGGTCACAGATAGTTTCTGAGAATTTTTCAATAGAAAGTGATGTAACATTTTTCAAATTTTATAATTTTATAGCATAAAATATAAGCAATACTATCTACAATGGGCATCCCCTGCAAAGGGAAAATTAGCCTCTCCAATGGCGTTTCACTAGAGATGCTAACCACACAGGTAGGCCCTGTGATCAGCAGAAGATACCAAACCAACACAAATTCAATGTTATTTTTGTAGATATTTTGTCCCATAGTGCAGTCTTTGAAAATATTTCGTTTTATTGGTTGTTGCTTGTATATTGCGGTTTCTGCTTTTATGTTTTTGTGGGTTTGTGTTTGTCTTTCTTTCCACCATGCTTCCTTCTTTACTCCCTCCCTCCCTCCCTTCCTTTCTCTCCTTCATTTTTTTCTTTATCTTTTTAAGAGAGAGAGAGAGAGAGAGAGAGAGAGAGAGAGAGGAGGATCTCAGAGAAGGTGGTGTAGGAGAATGCATCATCAGAATATATCGTGTGAAAAATAAGTTCTTTTCCAATTAAATATGTGAGAGAGGAATAAAGACACTTTTGTGACTTTGCCAAATACAGTCAAATTAAAAGTTAGAATTAATTCATAAAATAAAATTATTTTTCTTTATATTCTTTTTTATTGAAGTTGACAAAACTTTTGATTGACAATGTTTTATTGATTGCATACAGCATAATATTTTGATATATGAATATATAGTGTCATGACTTAATCAAGTTATTAATTATTAACTAACTTAATCCTCGTATTCTACAGTGAGTATTCTTAACATCTGCTCTTCTTAATTTTGATGTTTATAATGTATTGTTATTGTTAAGAACTGTCATTGGTACTGCAAGACATGTTGATTTGTATATGGTGTCATAATATCAAAATAAATGCTGTGAAATTGTTAAAATTTACTACCTGCCACTTTATAGGTGTTTGGAACAGTTTGTATACTTTTATAGAGATAAATTTTGCTCACTACAATTATGCAAAAGAATATTTCAAGTTTATACATAGAGTGTGTACCAAATTTGAAAACATTTTATTCAGAGCAAGCAAAAATATACATCTCTAGTTTATTTTATACGCATCAGTAGTCCTACCCTAAAATTGATTTCGCCTAAAAGACTGAGTTACTTAAGAAAGAATATAAATTTTGTGGATTCTGCAAATGTTTCTTGGGTAATTTCTCAAATAGGTTGGATGTCATTAACCTAGAAACCTATAGACTTTTTGGAATTGTATCTGATTTTAAATATCAATGTTTGTGTGTATTTACTCACCTTTCTTGAATGCATTCATTCACTTTAGAGTTTGGAATCTTAGCCTAGAATGTGGGTCTGCTCCCAGGTGGATTCTGCCATTGCAGATGAGGCAAATGCTAATCTGCTGAAGGGAAAAAGCTGGTCCTGATTCTTCTTTGTGTAATACTTAAAAACAACAAACAATCAAAAACTCCAGTTTGATTTATGTTTTCTCTGTTGATATTTTGTTGAATATGTAAATTGTCACTATTTTGTGTTTGCTGAAATAGTATCAGTTACTATGAAATAATTTTTATATTATAGAATATTACACTTAAAAACATCACACATTTTTTGGCAACATCACTTAGCCTTTATCTTTAAAATCCTTACTCAAGCTCAGCTTGAATTCCTCAAGCATATGCACTAAGAAACCTGGAACAGCCCAGCAGCTCATCTTTAATCTTATCTCAAAACATGCTTGGTTTGACATAGGATTTTTTTAAAGTATGACTTTATGTTTTGGTGACAGATATTCCACATGACATATGACCTCGCTAGTGCAGTGGTGAGAATCTTCAACCTCATTGGCATGATGCTGCTCCTGTGTCATTGGGATGGTTGTCTTCAGTTCCTGGTTCCCCTGCTTCAGGATTTCCCACCGGACTGCTGGGTTTCCCTAAATGAAATGGTTGTAAGTAACTCATGCTGTTTATGTACTGGATTTTCATCATTGTGCCAAAACTTCAATTATTTCTGCTGGTATGGTTTTCCCACTCTTCCATAAAGACTTTCCTTCCATGAAAGTGGAATTAGATGACCAGGGTTTCTAGAACCAAACCTTATTTTTGTATTTCTGGGAATGTAAATGCTGCAACATCTAGTCTTAAAAACTTTATTACTGAGATCTACTTTATTTACATGATATAAACACACATATAACCATGATACAATGTGCCTTCAAATAATAATAATAGGAAAAAATTTAATCTTCACTGTGCAATATATGTTAATATTTTTAAATTGTAAAATATGATTTTAGCTAAGTATATTAACATATATTTTAGGAGACTATGTACTGATATGAGATCTTACATTCATTTGGGTCTGTTCGCCATTTCATTCACATCTGCATCATCAGAAACTTTTTCGGAAAACCATTTTTTAAACCGTGTGTCATTCTCCTGGTTGATGTTTAATTATAAAAGCATTTGGTGTTTTGTAAACCCCACACATAGTATGGACTTTATGTTTTCTGACCTTCATTGCTGAATTTAAGTTCAAAGAGATTTTTCTTCCTCTGTCCTCAGTGCTATCCTAGCCTGTTTGAGCTGTTATACAAGAGTGCTGGGCTGGATAATTTATAAATGACAGAAATTTGCTTCTCATAATTCAGGAGTCTGGGAAGTTCAAGACCAAGGGACTACCATGTTCAGTCTCCTGTTGCAAAATGGCGGCTTGTGTTTGAATCTCTTGGAAAGAGGAAAGCTATTTCCACATGGCAGAAAATACTATTTTTCTGAGGGCTGGCTCCGCATGACCAGCGTGACTTCCATTAGTTACCATCTGCCAACCTTGTCGAGTCTTGAATTAAGTTTCTAAAAGGTAAATTTTGGAAAACACATTAGTCCCACAGAAGGTGGCTAGGAAAATACCAGACACATTAATTTCTTTTAACTTGCTGCTCATCATCAAATCTTAATAAGTATTCTTGATTGAAGTTTATATAGAACAATGCAAGAAAGGTGAATGAGTTGGATCATCTTAAAAAATCTCTAATGTTTCCTTTATTTGTCATTTATCCTTGAGGAAATGAAATAAAGATATGACAAAGGCAGGAATAAAAGTACTGACTGGGAGAGGAAGATGAGGTACCATTGTCAGGCTACTGCAGGATGTGGAGCAGAAGGATGAGACTTGATGCCAGAGATGATGCATCACTGACCCAATTGTAATACTTAATTTGTCAAATAATTATCATTTTCAATTTTTTTAGTTATGTTCCAAAAAAATTACAGTTACCATCATCAAAAGAGTAAGAGAACTCTTTGCAAGTACTTTAAAAATGCACATAATTGTGTAATTATATTACAGGGCAATATATTATGTATTGAGTTCAAAGCACATTTATTTAAGCATTTTTTTATATCTTTATTTTCTTTAAATGTGACTACAAGCAACTGTGTATGCCAGAGACAGAGAGACAGAGAGAAGATCTATTCTGCCTATCAGTGTGTGTTGTGTTGTGTTTAATGTAATAAAAGCATCAACCTTCATTATCTCCACTTTTGTACAAAATAACCTTATAAAGCTCAACATCACTTTTTTGTCTTTTTTATTTATTATTTATTTTTAGAAAATTGAAATTTTCAGAAATCATATAAATAGGCTGTTACACAGATAGAATATAGTGTCATAGGTACAGTTCATTACACAGATAGAATACAGAGCCTAGGAACAGTTCATGTTTACCCAGCTCCACAATGTCTATTCTGAAGTACACTAGAGTATCTTTGACACAAGGTATTATAAAACAGTTAAGAACAGTGATTAAAAAATAATCTTAATCACAGCAGCAGTCACTTCTCTAAATCCAGAGTCTGATTCAGGATACAAAACAAACAAACAAAAAATCAAACTCATAATTTTCTCTATTTGTGGAAAATCTAATTTGAAAGTAATAACTTGAGGCTAGAAATCAAGTTGTAGATAAACAGCACAAGCCTTTAATGAATATGGCATGATAATTATGATATACTTGTCTTTGGCACTATGTTAATTGCATGTCCTTTAGTATTACTAAGACTGCACATAGATTAAAATCCTGCACCCAAATTTGCTATATATACTGATCTTTCTATCTTTATATCCATTTAGTTTGTTATTAACATAAAGCCTGTGATTAGAAATTTCTGTTCCAGGCTATGATTAGGAATTTAAAGTTGCCACCATAACTATGCTATACATTTTTACTGTTTAATATAGTATAATCAGTTTAATATAATCATTGTTATGCTAACTTTATCTAATTTATATTTTGTTACATGAAAATAATTTTGATTCCTGTTGGCTAATTTCTTTGTTCATGAATTTATAAATTTTAAAGTAACTCTTATTACAGTATATTGAAGAAGCTAATGCATGAACTTAGTGGATGGCTTAAAATGAAGAAAAAGAAGAAGCTGACTTAAGAGATGCAGCAAGAACAGGGATTCATCTTGTTAGACATTTGCAATATTTGCTTTATTCCATGTGTGAACCAAATTTGAATTACAAAATTCTTTCTGAATTAAGATCTTGGACTTGGCAGATAATTAACGTCTAAGAAAATGTGTTACATTTCCATGTCATCTTCTAGTTATGCTTGCTTGTAAAAGGTACTGGGAATATATTAATTTATTAAAAAATGATTAAGGGTAATAACATTGGATTCAATTACAAATGAGAAATATTAATTTTAAGAATATGACAAGATAAGGCCACAGTATAATTTAGATTGCTTATTAATTACCTGAATCTAAAATACTTTCATACCATATGAAATATCATTTTGACATAAATATCTTGCAGTGAAACATTACTTATCTACAACAAGATTTTTCATGATCAAGCCTGCAGGATTACAGTTAGGCAGTCCATGTCTTCTACCTACAGTTTTTCAGATGAATAGTTACAGGTTGGGTATCATCTCAAAGGCTTTAATACAAACATATTAGGACTCCAAAATATTCTGCATACTCCTATATGGAGTTTGTACTTGTTTTTCGAATTGGAACATGTTATACTAAAAAGTGTTGCATCACATAAAGTTAGTTTATCAACATAATATGCAAATAATCCATGTAATCAAGTGTAGATAAATGACATGTAAAATAATGAGCAACATTTTCATGACTGTAAAATGGAAAATGTATTAGAAACTTGGGGCACCCAAGTTTCAGTGAATCAAGACTTGGACAAAACTCAGTATATTTAAAAGGGAGGCAGTTACTTGGTCACAGCAAACATTCTGAAACAATATATTTACTCTTAATTGTGTGTGTTTGTTTTACTATTTTGGTAGCATTTGGTTTTAAAATTTCATCTAGTAAGTTATATGAGAATATTTTTAAAATATTGAATGTCTTCTGTTTTATTGAAAATAATTTTTTTCTCACATAATATACCTGATAATAGTTTCACCTCTCTTTAATTCTCCCATTTGCTCTTTTCCTCACCTCCCACCCTTTTCTCTCTCTCATTAGAAGTCAAACAGGCAGGCTGAACAGTTAAAGGCTAGGCTCATAAGCAAAAATAAGAGAAGACAAACAGGCTTTTATAGGATAATAATATAATATACTACCTTATAAAATAAAACAAAAACTAACACATCAGAATTGCTCAGGAGAAGCAAATGAAGAAAAAGTACCTAAGAAAAGGCACAAGAAACAGACCAACTTTTTCGTACACTCAGGAATCCCAGAGAGACACTAAACTGAAAGTAATACTATATACACAAAGGGCCTGTAAGTTAAAAAAGGGAGAATAAATTTAAAAAAACAATAAGTTAAAAAAAAATCTAAAAGTTTTGACACAACATTATGAGAAAAAGAACCTCCAAAGATGCTGTTGTGTTGCTCATCTAATACATACATGCAGACTATCAAGAGAGTATTTTGTTGCTCTAAAGAGACTCCCTTGGGGGAAATTACATTTTAATTGACAAGTGACTATCAATTAGAGCGTGCTTCTGTGTTAGCGATAGGTGTATGTGTCCACAGCTTTCATCTGTCGGGTCTCATCTTGTGCAGACCCATTGACAACCTGCACATGCTGCATCAATCTCTGTAAATTTATATATGCATTGATCATGTTGATTTTATACTATTTCTGCCTCCACTTCTGTAGGCTTCCCTGAGGCCTAGGGTGAGGCATTTGATGGAGGCATCCCAATTAGAGCGTGGGTATTCCAAGATCTCTCACTCGTTGAGTAATGTCTCAGCATTTGTACCCATCAGTTGTAAGTAGAAGAAATTTTTCTGATGATGACTGAAGAAGATACCAATTTATGAGTATCACATAATATCATCAATAGTCATTTTATTGATACATTCTTTTTAGAACAGTAGTATTTAGTTTTCCCCTAGGTCCTTGAGTTATCTACTCTCAGTTGTAGTAATATTTCACTTGTATTTTAATAAATAAAGTTTGCCTGAAGATCAGAGTTTAAGACAGCCTCCCTAGTCAGCCTTACAAACCAGGAAGTGGTGGCACACATTTTTAATCCCAGTAACCACATTAGTTTGCAATAGAAACCGGGCAGTAGTGTTGCATGCCTTGTTTAACCCCAGCAATAGAGACTAATATAAGATGGGAGGGGACAGCTCTCAGGCTCAGTATCATTCTGAGGATTCCTGGTGGTATGATTGCCATTTCAGACTGAGGTAGAGGTAAGAGCTAGTGACTGGCTGTTTTGCTTTTCTGACCTTCAGGTTGAAGCCCCCCCCCCACACACACACACACAAGACCATTGTACATAAAGGATTTGTGCCTGAGATGGTTTATATATACTGTAATATTTGGTAGTGTGCAGAGCATCTTCTTGTACCAAAGATGCTAGCACATAGATAACAAGGCTCTATGTAGTCACCAGATCAACTTCTCTGTGTACAATGATCTGTGTAGGTTTTGTCTTCAATAATGGGGCCTTGCTCT